AACTCATTACATAGAAGTTTCCATACTCCAACCAACAAACGTTGACACTATTGCCGAAACTGCCATTTGTTATCTTCTCCTTATTATTTCTTTACAGTCCACACTATGTGTGGAGGAGAGTACAGACAAAATGCAAGTAATATTTCAGAATTGAAGTGTTTTTCCTCTAAGTAATTAGAATCTCTGAGTTTCTGTATCACTGAACAGATTGTTTAACCAGCACAGTGTAGGTATCAAATACATTACTGTACAACTTAGTTTCATCAAAAGTTACAAGGTGTGGAAGAGGGGTTGTATTTCCTATAAAAGTTTTAGTCTTTTCTACATGTGACAAATGATTACCTAAGTTAACTTACACATCTTCAGTTTTAGTCTTTTCTCCGTGTGTCACATGATTCCTAAGCCTAGAAATAAATTTTTAATTTTAGATTTTGTTTTCTGAAAAAGAATCTCAAACATAAAAATCTAACAGCATTAAGAAATAATTTCATGCCTGAAAGATGCTTTAGCTAAAAAAGACTTGGTTCATCAAAAACAGACTTGTCTGTCAAAACTAAACTAGGAACACTTCAGAGATTGACACAGGTATGTTAGTAACACATTTGAGTTATTGTAACTTTCAGTTCGTTGCTGTGTTTTGCATCCACCTATTTTTCCCTCACACTTAGATATAGTGTTAGTGAAACTATTTTTACTAAAGTTGCCTCCCAGTGGCTCAGCAGTAAGTTTGAGGGCTCACTCTGTTAAAAACCAGGTTTTGATACTCATAATAGGCATTGTGTAGCTTTGTTCTTAACCAAAAACAAAGTATCACTTAAAGTTCTAGTTAAATAATACAATTTGTTGTATTTTCTAGCCCCATCTTTCTTTTCTGTCATTTCAAGATAAATTTTGATGTTTCCCTTTGTTAAATGAAAGAACTCTTTACTTTGGTGATCTGGAGAGAACCATACACAGGGTTTAAAATGGTTACTTTATTTTTGCTTGTACATGATTAAACCTGTTACATTAGGCAGTGTCGAGCAACCCCGGTTGTTAATGAAACATACAAACTGCTGACCAGTGGCTATTTTCAAGTTAACATGAAAACATTTTAATTTTCCACATAAGAGATCCACTTTTCTGTTTCATGAGAAATCAAGTAGTTGTTTACATGCACTATATATGTCTTGATGTTTAACTTGTTTCATCAATTAAAAATATAATGGTTTTCTTCAAATAAAACATCTATTGTGACAAATGCCAGTTAGAACCTAGTAAACATGACTATTTAATTCCATGACTGATCAACTTGTTTTGTCTCAGCTTAGTTAGGGAATGGAGTGAGCCAAGTGCTTTTAATACTCTTTGACTGTAAGTTGGTGAAGAACATGTGAAACAAAACAAAATAAAGGCATACAGCTACACTGTTTTATGTCATAATTGGACTCTGATGTTTGACATTTATAGCCAGTTCAACATAACGGCATACAACATTATCGTGTACAGCTGCCTATGCTGTTTTACATGATACCCTTACTCTGATGTTCTACATCTATAGCCAGTTCAACATAACGGCATACAACATTATCGTGTACAGCTGCCTATGCTGTTTTACATGATACCCTTACTCTGATGTTCTACATCTATAGCCAGTTCAACATAACAGCATACAACATTATCGTGTACAGCTGCCTATGCTGTTTTACATGATACCCTTACTCTGATGTTCTACATCTATAGCCAGTTCAACATAACAGCATACAACATTATCGTGTACAGCTGTCTATGCTGTTTTACATGATACCCTTACTCTAATATTCTACATCTATAGCCAGTTCAACATAACGGCATACAACATTATCGTGTACAGTTGTCTATGCTGTTTTACATGATACCCTTACTCTGATGTTCTACATCTATAGCCAGTTCAACATAACAGCATACAACATTGTTTTGTACAGTTGTCTATGCTGTTTTACATGATACCCTTACTCTGATGTTCTACATTTATAGCAAGTTCAACATAACAGCATACAACATTGTTTTGTACAGCTGTCTATGCTGTTTTACATGATACCCTTACTCTGATGTTCTACATCTATAGCCAGTTCAACATAACAGCATACAACATTGTTTTGTACAGCTTTCTTTACTGACAAGACAGAAACATCTAAGTTGTTTTACAGTTGATGTTTAAGAGTTTGAAAATTTCACATAGTAAGCAATTTTTGAAACTTTTCTGAAATAATACAGTTCAAGTAACAAAACTAAATACTAAAGAAAAAACAAGCATTAAGTAAATGTATTAGTTTTTGAATTTTAGTGAAACATTTATGTTTCTAACTACATGCATTTCAGATAAAGAAAAGTACATTAACAATAACACTCACTTTGTTTATATATATATATATGTAGTTATCTACATAAACGTTTTTCCTCTTTGTTCTTTGGTATAAACTATCATTCTTGGTTGAGGTACCACATAATTGAAAATTTACCATTTTTTATGCAGTAGTATTTAAACAAAACAATATGTGAATACTCTGTAAACATTGTACAAACAAAGTGCATATCAAAACTCCTGGAGTCCAGGGTTAACAGCATAATGATCGGTATGTAGCAGCAGTAATATTTGTTAATATAAAAACTAAGAAACTGATAAGATATTCTGGTAATACAATCAGTTGGAACACAGTCAGCACTAAAGACAGATTAAACAGATCACTGATAAGACATTGTAGTATTACAGTCATATGTTACACAGTCAACATTAAGACAGTTTAACCAGATCACCGATAAGACATTGTAGTATAACAGTCAGTTGTTACACAGTCAATATTAAGACAGCTTAACCAGGATATCACTGATAAGACATTGTAGTATTACAGTCAGTTGTTACACAATCATTAGAGACAGCTTAACCAAGATATCACTGATAAGACATTGTAGTATTACAGTCAGTTGTTACACAATCATTAGAGACAGCTTAACCAAGATATCACTGATAAGACATTGTAGTATTACAGTCAGATGTTAAGCAGTCAACATAGAGACAACTTAACCAGATCTGACTGTAATACTACAATGTCTTATCAACGATCATGTTAAGCAGTCAACATAGAGACAACCAGAAGATCGTTGATAAGACATTGTAGTATTACAGTCAGATGTTAAGCAGTCAACATAGAGACAACTTAACCAGAAGATCGTTGATAAGACATTGTAGTAATACAGTCAGCTGTTACACAGTAAGCATTGTTGTAATATAATCACCTGTTAGAGACAGCAGCAGATACTGGCCGGCAGAAAGAACCCAGTGAATCTTTAGTTTCATCACCGTCAAGCAGTAACTATAGAAACATGATTTTTAGGTCCATACCTATTGTCTTGAAACTGTTATCACAATGCCCACTTGAAATCAGACTTTAACTGCAACACACACAAAATATTAATATAATACATATTCCAATAACAGAACAGGTGTTAATAAATATAGATTAATGCAGCCATGCTATGTGGCTAGTATTGCTCTAATATATGAATGAGTAGAACTACACTTAACCAGCAAGCACCAAACTCTTGGTGTTTCCAGTATCCTGAAAGTGGGTCTTCCACCCACAAACAGATTTTTCTTCTTTTTGATTCTCTATAAATACAACACTTCCTTCACAAACTTTATGTTCCTAATCAACCTTGTTTAAGTGTTTACAGAAAATAATTGCTGAGTTTGCAAAATGTTTAGAGAGAGGGCAAAATGTATCCAACCACTCATTTCTGCGTGGGAAACTGTGACATCCCGGAGAATGCATGCACACTTTGAAATACGTTGTTTAGGTGCTTGTGATAGTGAAAGCAGGTTCCTGGTGTTTGAGTATCTCTCAAGAATACAAAACTGACACTGTGTTGTGGGCGAGAGTTTGCCCTGTGTAAGAACTTTGGATTTCATACCTGGGTTTGTTATATTTTTTGCACCACAATATATTCTCCACACTTTAAACTGTGAGTGTGTTATAAGCGTGACAGTCAGTCCCTTAGCATAAATCGTGGATGATAAGGTGCTGCCGAGTAGTTCAGTAGATCAAAATTAGGGACAGCAGCAGACATGGTAACTTTATGATAAATACAAATACACTGTCCGTGCGTTAATAATACGTGTGTTCTCTCTAGTAAAAATGTCTATCGTATCAACCGTTCAATGAGAACTTGTTTAGAAGAGTTCTGGAGGTTTCATAATACAAGGTGCACTGCAGTTAAACAAAACAAAACTGATACCCACGAGCATGAATAAGCAAGTTACGCTGAAATAAATATTCGTGTAAGTTTTGAAAGTAAGTTTAAGTGAAGTATACGTGTAGGTTACAATTATAGGTATATAAATCCCTTATTAAGGATCAAAATAGTTATTATATAGACATTAGATTCCTTCAGTGAAATTGTACATACGTCTGAACAGACAATTTCTGAAGCGTACTTAGTTATCATTGAAAATACGAAGGATTTATACTGGCAGAACGTGCTTTTACAGTATGGTATGGTTATTGGTTTTGCCGTCATCTTGCAAGTAGATTTGGTGGCTGATGGAATCATATTTAATTCATATTGCACCCCTGACTCTCGGGCAACGCCCCAACCCACAAGACAGTAAAAATTTCGAAATAAATAATATGTTAAAGTGCTTAACTGAAGGAGAGCCCAGGTTACTGGGGATCATCTACAAATTTAAGGCTAAGACCATTTTGCAATTCATAATCACCATTTATTTATTTTATTATTATGTAAAATGTGTCTAATTCTGAAAATAATTCTATTGTATCTTTAACTTCTAAGTAATCGTTTAACAATGTATCTAACAAAAAAATAGTGTATCATTAAACGTGATACACATTAAACATGAATTTCTAAAACAACAAGGACATTCTCATCTCGGTATGTATTCATCGCTAGGCAAAAAAGACATTCTCATCTCGGTATGTGTTCATCGCTAGGCAGACAAAACATTCTCATCTCGGTATGTGTTCATCGCTAGGCAACAAAGACATTCTCATCTCGGTATGTATTCATCGCTAGGCAGCAAAGACATTCTCATCCCGGTATGTGTTCATCGCTAGGCAGCAAAAACATTCTCATCTCGGTATGTGTTCATCGCTAGGCAACAAAGACATTCTCATCTCGGTATGTGTTCATCGCTAGGCAACAAAGACATTCTCATCTCGGTATGTGTTGATCGCTAGGCAGCAAAAACATTCTCATCTCGGTATGTGTTGATCGCTAGGCAATAAAAACTATCATCTCGGTATTTGTCGGTTGCTAAGGAAAGATTCATCTTGGTATGTGTTGGTTGCGTACGCCACAATATTTGAGAAATTTATTGAAAAGTGTTGTATAAAAATATTCCTTATAAAATATTTACGAAATTTATATCAAAAGAAGTTTTTCTGAGCGATTGGTCCAGTAGTATATTAGGTATTCCTCCGGTGTTAGTTTAAACAGAACACTCTTTCAAGTGTAGAAAATTAATGTTTCTGTACTTGTATACAGCGCTACAGTAAGCGGTAACATATATATACCATCGCAACGTGTAACTAATTCAATAGGTAAACTTCGACGTTACTGAATTAAGGCTGTTAGTATCATTTTAAAGAAACAACGTGAATTGATCCATGATGTTTAAGTGATTTTAAAGATCCAGGGTAACATTAGGTTGTTGGAATAGCTAAGTCTGTCCACTTTCAAAGATGAGGAATACCATCACAAGGAAAAGAACGAGATAATTCCGTTGTTAATTTGTTCCGGAACTCTGAGTAAACATCCATATTCAGTACTAGCCCTTATTTCTTCATGATTAGAAAACACGTAAAAGTTCTAAAAATCTAAAAGGTTTAAACAGCTATTGCTCTTTGATATCACAGTATGTGAAGTCTTAAAACCGTTGGCTTGCTGGACTCTGAACGTTTTAACTTATAATTAATTTTATCTTAGGTTAGTATATCGTGGTCTGTTCTATAACATGTCTGTTTCACTATATTGCAGAAACTTGAACGATCCGTGATGCTTCCAACTCAAGTGAGAGCCCTCTTGTGGTAGATCTGCGGACGAGAATGAAACAGAAAACACGTGAACCGGCATAGTCACTACTAAATACGACAGGAAGGATATTATATATATGTTTTCTTTAACTTTGCAGATGTGAACAAAGCAGCCAATTCAAGAGTGAATAGCGTGAAAGGCGTCAAAAGTGGGCGGGCTCAAAGCGGCCAGTTCAACAGTGACGTCTAAAGTAGGCGGGCTCTCACCAGACAAAAGAACTTTTTGTTTGTTGGATTGCGAAGACGTACTACGTTTCATTTTTAATTTAGGAGTCCACGTGTAAAGTTAGTCCAATGGACTTACATTAAAACAACATTTCAGGTACAAAATTCATACAGGAACGAAGTAAAAATTACTCACTTGAGAAGATGGTTTTAAAATTAAATACACGGTACGCGTTATTACGAATTTCGGAATAGTCATTCTTAATGGCCTAAAAATTGGCTGCTTTGTCCAAGTTATAAACAAACATTTGTTGAAAGAAAATTCGAATTAAAACATAATTTAGTAGAACTGTACGAGAAACCACTTAAAACACAATTAAATAGCGAATAATTATATATTTTCTAACTTTTTATCATAAATTTTCAAAATAATACACAAGTACCATGTTGAAAGAGAACATTGATTTCATTTAATTATTACAGAGGGCACTAAGCCTAATTGAATATGGTACTGTGTTTTTGATTTGATTTGTACCCAGGTTGAACTTGTAAAGATTTCAGTCAATAAATTCAATCGAAACTGATTACACTAAATATGAAAAACTCTGCCTAACTGTTTAAAAATATTTGATTTTGTAACTTAGGTCAGCGGTTGTCAAACTAGTAATCCGAGGACCCTTTTTAAATGAAACATTTTTTGGGACCCCACAAACCTATCGATGTTTCTTAGTTGTTGTTTTTTTTAATGTTCCTTGTACATAAAAACCTGTCTACCAAAATTAAATGTTTTAATTTATTTAAATACAATTTTGAGAAAAATATATATATCTTTAAAAATATTTTAATAAAATTTCTTATATGGCCCGCATACCTCAGCTTAAGAAACGCTGACTTTGGTAGTTATAGAAATTGAGACCATGTTCACAAATATATAGTGTGACGAGTTATCGGAAGATGGCGCTTCTGTATAGCTGACAAATCGTGTGTGACTGTTTAGATTATTTGTCGTTAAGTTCTTATTTTAAATCATTTTTAGCTTAACAGAATACAGTGCTTTTGTAGTTACCTTTAGTTTCTCGGCGTTCAGGGAGAAGAAACAAGACTGATAACGCTATAGAAATATGCCACGTGCTGTGAACATACTTGTAGTTGTCGTCGGTTTGAAGAATAGTAAAAATGATTACTCCTACACACACACTGATTACCCCTGGTAATAGACAGAGCAACCACGTTCTTTTTCTAGGGTAACAAGCTCCTTCATAACGACAGTGGCTTAACTGGAAAAAAGAAACAATGGTAATGTTTCTTCACGATATAATACAACAGGACAGTTTGGATATAGCTTATCGTTTTAAAACTGTTACTTGACTTTATTGGTTACAGGGTTTCTAATGACGTACATAACAAAAGCACCCCTGTGCCACTAGTTGTTATAGCTGGTATTTTACATACAAAATGAATGACTTTGTCCATGTTAATTTTTTAGTCAGTTCTTTTGAGATAATAACCATAAAGTTACTCGATAGATGGACAAATATTGAAGATTATAGAAACAAGTCGCTAAT